AACGGCGCTTTGGTCTAGGCTCAAGGACCCTCGAGACGGGATCTCAGCTTAGTCTGTCACTCAATACCCGTTTAGCTTTCCGATTCGAGGGTGCCGAAGAAGGCCAGACCTCGGCTCAATCGGTAGTTATTATCTAACTGGAAGAATTTCTAGGTCTAACATGACTACCATTCCGGAAAGTGTTGGCGCTGGGAAAAGTGGCGGAAGAAACTCCAACGACGCTTCTACTCGCCGGCGAGTGCGGTGTGATCTGGTGTGTTTGCGTTATTGTTTTATCCTGTCGATGGCAATAGTCGTCTCATCATCAGGAAAATCGAGGATGTGTCGTGGTCTGCGCCATTTGCGACGGAACGTACTTAGCGGTAAGGGTCTGTAGGTGACGGCACCTATGACTTACGGATTGGCCCCGAAAATGGCTAGCGCTGTTCCTTTTATAGACTGTTGCAGTGTACCCTTGTATCTTCCAATAATATATTTTTATTCGTTTTCATTAAAATAGGTAAATTAACACTAAGTGGATAAAATGTTTTCTACCTTATCTTTACATTTTATAGCGATGGAGTAATTTCAAATCAATTAAAAAAATTTAATGTTCAACCCGAGAACAAAAAAATGACTTATGAACATCCTATATTTCCAAATTTTTATACGTTACAATTTGAAAACGAAATTTCTGTTGGATGGAAAGTTTTTTCCAAATTTACATTTTATTTATAATATCTATATAGAATCAAAATTATGTGTAAGATAATTAGAATGTGTAATTCAAACTACGAAATATTAGTAGTCGAAAATGAAAGAGAGATGACGAACGGATACATACATTTTATGTTCTTCGTATCTCGTTAAATTCTTAGTAATATTGCAGTTTTCGACACGTTATCATTGTTTTATATACTAAATATTAAGAAAAGAAAAAATACTTACGGTTTTCGATATTTGTTTCACAAAAAACATTAATTCAAATATTTAAATGAAAACATGGAGATATTCGAAATAGTCGTGAAAGAATGAATAGGTTTTTACCAGTAATAATTCTTTTAGCTATCAAAGTACGGTTCATTCATTCCTTCGCTAATTTCTCGATCGAGTTTCACGGTTTCACAATTAACTCTTATCTAGTCAGCAATTAGCTCACTATTAATCATAAACGATCTGGCGTAGATCTACGTTCCGACAGTCAACGGAAGCACAATTTGGCGCGCAGATCTACGTTCCGACAAACCAAAGGTTAAAATACAGGATTACCTACAGAAAGGACAATGACAATGCTTTTTTTGGAAAAAAAAAACAAACAATCCCAATCAACATTAATAATGTTGATTGGGTTTATTTGTTTTTTTTTTTTAAATACATAAAAAAAGGATTTTTTTACTTAGGATTCATGTGAGTAAATTTGATTATTTTTTAAAATAAATTGTACAAAAGATAAATAATTTGGTCTACTCATTTACTAGCCCCGATTCAGTCCTTTCTATTCAGTAGTAAACCAAAATATAAAACCCATTATACTCATTTTAAGACTATACACAGATGCAAATATTAAAAAAGAAGTTATAATTATTCATTTATTTTTAACTTTTAGTACAAAATAAAACTAGTACACAGGGATACATCTCAAACCTAGCATTTGCAAGTTGAATAGTCCGAGGCTTACGACAATAAGTCTTCTCATTTGTACTATTTTAGACACTAACGTCACACCAATTAGCTCATTTCCCCATTAAAAATAAAAGTTAGTCAAAACTGAATAATGTAATCACTCTTCAAGTCATTATGGTCATGTTACAATTTATGCCAATATACAACCTACCTTACTTCTGGTACGTTCGATTTTAAGCTTACTTATTGTACAAATACATAATTTTGAGGTTTGGAGCGGCATTGGTGAGTTTTTCAGGCACAATCACAAACCAGCTCACTCCAATGTTTATAATACACAAAACAACATATATGTCAATGCTGACAGCTAATTTCATTGTTAAAATACGTGTTTCGGTGTAGTTTTAATCATATTTGGTGTAAAGATATTGCCATTTTATGTATTACAAACATTTCAAGAGAATCTCTTCCATCTAATACAATTGCTTTATCATCGGTATCAAATCATTTATCATCTCATGTAAAACATTACACTATTACACATCATATCAAAATTCCATGATCAATTCTTATCTAGTATATACTATCATGGTATGGGATTTGTTTTCCAATATAGGTAATTTATTCAAAACATTTTTTATATAAAACTGTTTATCATACTGCTATTTTGTGACCACCTGCTGAAGAAATAACTATTATTAGCGAATGCTTTCAATTGTGGCGATTCGTCTACATGTAAAAAATATACTACTTGGGTACCAAAAGGTACCCGTAATATTAGCTGAGTAATGTACGAAAAATGCCCATACCCCTTCAAAAATCGATAAAAAATATTGCAAACTTCATACACTATTTTTCCAACTAAAGAAGTCTTAGTGATATGACTCGGCAATTCTTTATTCCTTTGAATTATATCAAAAATGAAAACTACCTCTGACTATCCAAAAACTATGTGCCTAGCATAACAGTGAGATTTTCTGATACAGACGATATAAAAAGTTAAAATGTGTGTTATTTTAATATTATAATGACATGTATTAATGCAGACAATTTTATAGATTATAATTAATTTAAAATCGCTAAGTACTCAGTTAATTAGCTAAAGTAATGAGGTTAGATGTTTCTAATTTAAAGATTTCAATTATATTTTTATAAGGAACATAAATCACCTAAGAAATTAATTTCATTAACATATCTGGCCTTATTTCTAAAAGGCGGAAGAATCTGCATGAGCGATTTTTTTATTTTATACAGGCTTATTAGTTGATGAAAAATTTTTAATATTTTCATTTTGTGAATGAAGAATCATTAACAGCAATTTAAAAATATAATAATAAAACAGAAAGATAACTATCTTTCTATTTTAAACAATATGGCTTGAATTATTTACTTGATGTTAATTTCTTGATTATTTTTTGCGACAAGTTTGTATACAAAAAAGGTTAAAAATGGCAAAAAATGTTTCTGAATATTTAAAGTTTGATTAATTGCTTTCTACAGTTTGTACAAAAAGAACTCATTCTTTCCTGCTTGATTTTTACTGTAAGAGAACTACGTCTATGTTTTTGACCACATCGTCAACCCAATCTTTGGTTTTTATCTACTTTTAACTAATTACTTATTCCTCATAATCAAAATTTCACAATATTTTATTTGATTGAACACGAAAAATGTTGGAAAATTTTAAACAAACTATAAAGCCTGAAAGATATTGCTAAAGTTCAGATGAATAACTTTAACAAACACTGCCTGTAAAAATAATTACAAAAAAACTGTTACGACGCCAAAACGGCAAATTTTAATTTTAACACCCTCCCCATAATTTTGCCAAACCGTTGTTTCCGCGTTTTAATACGAAATTAGAGCTAGAGCATTTGTATTGGAGTCAACGCGACTTCGGACACGACATCATTATTTCAAAACAGTTTTATATTTTAACTAGGGCTAACTATTGTTAAATCTAAAAACAAGTAGCGCTAAGGCACCGGATTTGTAAACTTATTTTCATATACTTTTAACTACACTTGTTAAATTTATTGCAATTGTAAAAATTATACGCTTTATTTAAACTTACGTTCCCTTGGCTTTGGTATGTTTCAGACCAAGATAAGACGGACGTTACACTTTACTTTCATCTCGCGCTAAAAGCTTATTGCTTTGACACCAGGGAAACATGAGGCACGTGGGCTATTTTCATCGAATTAAGTATTATGACAATATATAAAAAGATTTTACTACTTCTGGTTTTGCTTACTATTATTACCATAAGTATATGAAGCACCATTGAATTTGGTATTATGAACAATTACATAACTAGTTATTTTCCACTTTTCTCTATTGCTAATATTTGTGCTGTCGTTGCATACACTCCTAAGTGCCAATTTTGTGTAAATTATGAAAATATAATACTAACGGCCACACTATCCTTAAAGCGAATTAGAGAATTTGGCACATGCATTCAATGCATCCAATTGATGATTGCACACTGTTGTTTTTGCCAAGTTCATTGTAATAAAATTAAAAGAGGTCGTTACATCGCTTTTCGCTAAACAAATATATAAAGATAACATGACCATCATTAAATTTAGATTTTCTAGCAAAACATAAATATTAAAACCAATAACGTCCAATTTTATTTGTATATTTCTATAAACTTCTCATTCTGTGGAAATTATGATTTTTAATTATCAATCTGTAATGCGTTCATGTATCATATTATAAGGCATCGGCTGCGGGTAAATTTATTATTACGTAATTCATTCTTACTTTTTATACTAATTAACCCAATAGAACTATACAATGAGCGACTTTACTCATTTATACAAAATATTAATTATTATATACAAATTCGTTTTCCGATCGAACCATTCGCCCCTCAATTTAAGGACATCTCAAAGAAATGATTGACATTATTCAGACTGAGCTAGCGTAACATCATAAAACAAAACACATAAAACAACAAACATTCATCAAACGAACGGTGTATAAACGATCCGCTGCATCGAATCATGTATTTCAAACTCTAAGACCTAAATGAACACATGAAATACAATCCCGTCGCGGCGCGATATCGTAGCGCCCAAATAGAACGTCGACACGTAAACCTATGTTAAATAATTACAATTCTTAAAACTAATATAAACTCATTAATATACATAATTACATTATAATATATTCGAAAAAAAAAATAACAAATAAGATCGACGATCAAGGTGCATGGAGTCGCCGAGTCGACACGTTCGCCGCCGTCGGGTCCTTTTATTTACACGGAGTACGACCGTACGTACTCCCGAGCGGGCAGTGTTCCGATAGTGAATTGCGCTAACGTTGCGACCGTGTCAGGGGCCGCGGCAGTGGTGGAGGCCGCTCGCGTCGCAGCGCTACATGCGCGGCCGTCACATCGCCGGCCGCTCCCAGTCCACCGCGGCGGCGGGCGGGGGCGCGCCGCTCCACGCGCCCCACCGCTCGCGCCGGAAGAACCGTTTCTTGAAGTGGTGCGCGGGCAGGGGGGAGGGCGAGCGCGCCTCCGCCCCTCCGCCCGCCACCACCACCGCGCTCGGAGCCGCTCCCGCCGCCACCCCCGCGCCCGCTCCCGATCCCGCCACCGCGCCCGCCCCCGCCCCCGCTCCCGCTCCCGCTCCAGCCACCGCCCGCCCCGTCTCGCTGTGCCCGATCCCCGAGTCGGGCGACGTGTTGCACGCCTCGTCCGACCGCCGCCGCTTATCCTCCATCGCGGTGGACGCGAACGATATTATCTGGTCGAAGCGGAAGGCGATGCGGTCCTGCCACTTGCTCTCCTCCACCTCCTCGCCGCCCTCGCCTTCTGAAACGAGCGCCAGTGTGATTTCGTACCGCGAAACGACCCCGACGGGCCTCGGTGTGCAATAAACGTGTACACATAGAATGGACACTCCCAGCAAACGGAAACGAGAGGTTGGTGATTATCAATGTGTGAAGCTCGCGCAAGCCGTAGATGTCATTATAATGAAAGGCCGTATTCTTATTTACCTAAATTGCACCCACGCACCCCAGCCCATGCGCAAAGGTTGTCACGTGCAATAAAAATATTAAATGCACTGATCTGAAACAAATTTGTTTTATCTCAAAGAATATATACCATTTGTATACGACAATCGCATATTGCTGCATTAACAAATCGATCGAAAGACGTCAACAGGATCGCTGCGCGTTTCTTTAACTCGTTCGATAGGGTATATTCGATATGACGCCATGGTATTGGGCGGCAATGTCCATTCTACGCTGGTAGGTAAGGGCGCGTTCATACCGGACGGGCGAGCGGCCTCCGGCAGCTCGTCCACGAGGGGCGTGGAGGTGTTGGAGTGGGGGTCGGGTGGCGGCGAGCGGCGGCGGCCAGCCTCCTCCGCCTCCGCGACGCCGTTGCGCCCGCGCCAGTACTCCGACGCCAGTACCCGTGCTTGCAAGCACGCTGCCAAACCTACGATACGTGGTTATGGTAAACAATTCATCCGATACGCGTACGCTGTTAGCTTTTATAACAAGATGGAACGATCACACATGTTTCGACACGGCGTTAATCTAAGAACCATAAAAATCTAGATAAAAATATAAAGTGAGTAAATGTTGCGATACTTGTAAATGGCTCATCAATCAGAGAAGGCTGAAATAATACAGTCTGTTAATGTTTAATATTATGATCGGTACAAATGATAGTAAGATTCTATGTAAGGACAATGTTTAATTAAAGTCAATTTTGATAATTTTATTATTTTTATTGCGACAATTTCTCTTCCCTGGCCAAATAAGTACACACCCTGATCTTGGTGTCTCTACTCTACCCAATGTATTTACCCTGGCCTTCTAAAACGTAATAAAATATGCATAAAGTGACTTGCCCTTACGTGAAAAGATACATAAATATGACAAAAATCGTAATATAAGTGTTTAATGAAAAAACAGCAACTTTTCTCCGTGGCCATATTCTCTATGGACTTGAAACCTCTTACCGTAGAATTACCCACGTAAGGATGTTCTAAAATTGTTTGTTTTGTAAAATTTAATAACTCGGTAAATATTGATGTTTAAAGAATGTAAATGTTTATTACAATTATAATAAGTTATCCTCTATATGTGTGTTGATTTGTGGTCGCGTTAGTAGCGCCAAGTTGTATAACCGTACTAGAAGTATTGTAATATAAAAAACCTCTGCTTAAGTTTTTTTTTGGTGGAATTTTAATCGAGCAGACGCGCAACGGTACCTTCAAGCGGCTGGTGCGCGGCGGCGGGCTCGTGGTATCGCGCGCTCATATTGACGGCTGCGTTGATGATGCTCTGGTTGGAGATCTCCAGCGTGCGCTCGATCTCGCCGTTGACGAGGTCGCCGATGGTGCGCGCGCCCGGCGCCGCCAGCCGCTCCTGCGACAGGTGCCGCCGCAGCGCCAGCTTCGCCGGGGACACCTGCGCACCACGCACCCCGAAATCAATCACCGTATACGCATGCACATCCTATCACGCAGAAATACCGGCAATCGACTACAATTCGTGTTCGCATTATAATCACATACCGTGTCTAGTCAATTGCAAGCAATCCGCAGCGCTCGTGACTGTGCAGTCTGAACCGTGAGCGTTCGGTTTCGGCTCGTGTCTGTAAGAAGGGATGGATGAGCATACTAACTTGTGTGTAGTCCGGCTGACCGGAATGATGTTGGCGCGGCTCGGGCGCTCCGTGCGGGCCGTGGGGGGCGGGGGGACCGTGCGCCGTGCGCCGATCGTACGCGTACCGTTCGCGGCGCAAGTCGCGCGCGGCCCGTGCGTACCCGCCGCCGGGCGCGGGGCGCGGCGCGTAAGCGGCGTGCTGCCCGCCCGGCGGACGCACGTACCCGTTCGAGTAGGCGTGGCCGGGCGGCGGCGGCTGGCGGGACGCCTTGCGCTGCTCCTGGTCCTCGTTCAGGACGGAAGTGATTATACTCTTGAGGCGGTCCTCGAAGTTGATCACCTTCGGCGACTCCTGCACCTTTGTGACCACGTTGAGTGGCTTCTGCGGCTTGACGGGCGACTGGCGGTGCGCGGGCGGCGGCTGCGGCGGCAGAGGGCGCTGCGGCTGCGGCTGCGTCCGGTGGACGGGGGCGGGCGCTTTCACCTGTCTCTGCTGCTCCGTGTGTCGCTCCGTGTGACGCTCCGTGTGACGCTCCGTGTGACGCTCCGCGTGACGCTCCGTATGACGCTCCGTGTGACGCTCCGTATGACGCTCCGTGTGACGCTCCGACTCGCGAGCGTATCCGTTCACTATGACGTTAGGCTTCGCTATCTTACCGGCCTCGATCTGGCGCCCCGTCTCCAGTATCTTCTGTGCGAGGATCTCCGGGTTCTGTTCGTCGATCTTTCCCATCTCCGGCACGTCGGGCCACTCCTGCGACCGCGAACGATTCTCCCTCGATTTCCGCGGCTTCGAGTTCACCGTGTGCGGCTTGACGGTGGCCACGGGCACGGTCGGCGCTGCGACCTTCTGCTCGCTGGCCCTTTCCATCTGCACGATTTCGTTTTGCAAGTGGCCCACCTGCGCGTGTAACCTCTTACGATGCGCTAGCGTGGCCGATATTTCTTTCAATATGCAATCGTGTGCCATGCTCTGAGTGATTTCCACGTCTGGTGGTATGTGGCCCATCTTACGATACTTTTCGGTTATTTCAAAAGTTCGCTGCTTCACAAGAATAGCTTGTTCAGCTTCTATATTGTTAACCTAAAAATTTATTATAGGAAATTAAAGGTTGAAAAAAAATTAAAACAGATATATATCTGTTTTCATTTCATATGAATATGGCAAAAGTTTTACCTGCGCTTGTAGCTTGCTCGCTTTGCTCTGTAGCTCTTTGTGCCTCCCAACGATTTCCTTAGCCTTTGCTAATAGATCCACGGTATTGTTGGCGTGTATGCCGAGCTCACTCATGCGTGCCTTTAACAATGCAACACTATCGCTGATCAAAACATTGATCTGTTTGTCTAACTGAGAGGCACGGGACTTCAGCTTTTGATTCCTTTCCTGTGAACATAACATTCGCTGCTTTATATAATGCCGACGCGTTAGGTCATTTGTTACCTTCGTGTCAGTAGGTGAGTAACACGATGCGCCTCTTTGGTATAACGCATCCTGGGTAGAACTGATAGCGACATCGGATTACGTTTAGAAGATTCGTCAAATACAGTTGATAGTAAACCCCATTTAGTCACCGTTTCTGAATTGTAATTAGTAAAAATAAATCGACGTTTCTGGATTAGTTTATTAGATATTTAATTGAAAAACAATTGAACGAAAAGAAATAATAATAAAACTTATATTAATTGATCAATATTTATAAATAATTTCTTAGCTATATATTAATTAATATTTTTTTTTATTTTAGTTCGACAAAGTGGTTAATTAATTCAATATGTTTTGTATATAATTATTGCAGGATTTAAACGAAATGTTTTATATTAACATTATTTAAACGTTTTCAAGTAAAATGCATAGTTATTACTTATGTAATCGAACTTATTTCTTTTAACAAAAAGAGAGTTTCGATCGTACGACTGACAAGATTGTTTTATGATAATTTTTATATTCGGTGATGTAGGCGTTATTCGTTTCACTGGCGGCAGCCTTTCTTTGTGTGGGAGGTCCCGGCCAGACATAACTGCCACGGATCTGATTATTTGGGCAACATACGAGTCGCGCAAAACTTGAATGCACCTGAGTAAATTTGGCTCCACGAGTTCTGTGCCTGTGCTGTCGAGTGCAAAATCCGAAACTACCAAATATTAAAATGATCTAACTAAACAGAATAACTATATTCTCGATTATTTTTTACAAACGTGTAATATTTATTTATTTCTACTTAATTGCAATTACCTTAATCAAGGATCACAAGGGGCGAACTTATTGCCTTTTGGCATTTTTTTCCAGTTGTGTAAAGAAAGCGGCGAGTATTGAGTGCGAAAACGAAATCTCCCTCCGATACCTATCTATAAACAGTGTACCGAGCAAATGTTCGAATAACTTGCAATAGCAACAAACGTTTGCACAGTGCACAATTCAAAATTAATGAAAACACCGTCCGGCGTGCGGAGAGTAGGCACCGACCTTCTCCTTGTCGATCTGTTGGCGGACGTCGCGCGCGTACTCCGGCGAGTTGAGGCGCTGTATGAAGGCGAGGTACTGGTCGCGGAACATGTCCAGCAGCAGTTGCAGGCTGTAGGGCGTGTGCGGCGAACGGGGGATGTCCAGCTCCGAGTGCAGCCGCTCGGCAGGTTGCAGTTGGACGCCGAGCGCGGACAGCCTCTGGCCCACGCAGCCCGGCGGCGGCGCCGTCACCTGCGAACCGACCGCCCGCCGGCACCGGCCCCCGTATTACTCTGTGCACCGGGCGTACAAACTATCGCGTCACAGACCACTCCAACGGAAGAGAGCGACAACAGTGATGATGTCATCTTACTCTGTGAGTTGCGTCACAGACCACTCTAAAGACGGAAAGCGGCGACGGAAGCACAGTGTAAGGTTAGACTCTGTGTGGCGCGTCATAGACCACTACAACGACAGAGTTATAATAGAAATGTCATTGGCCACTCAAAGCGCGACGGGCATAATAAATGCAGTGTGCCCAAGTCTAAGCCAACAACAGAGATAGACAAAAGACCAGTATCAGGTCTTGCCATAAGAACTCGTGCCCGCTAAAATCATTTACAAAGTCTCGTTAGACGTTCACGCACATTAGCGTACAAAAATTTACTCCATCTGGAGTTGTAAGCGAATTATTGACAGGCCCAAAAAATATATTACAATGTAATCTGTAGGCCTTTTACGTGGACTATAATTGATTTTCCGATTTACATAAGCGACCATCCCAAGTGTTTGCAGTCGCTAGTATTATTGTTGTTTTTGGAAAACCATACACTTACAATGTTAATATTGTACACGTACAAGTAAACTCAGTACTTACGAACTACTGTACTGAAAATGTTGCTGTTTTCAGTACAGTTTAGATTGTGATTTTAAGAAATTATTAGGTATAATTTTTGAAAAATCAAAGTGGTAATGTTAAAAATCATCAATCACTGTCCTCAAATAGTTTAATGTGCCAAAAAAATTGTATGCAGAATACAATCATGCCATTAAAACTACACTCAGGATAAAGTACATATAAATAATCAGAAATATGCGTAAATTATAAATATACCGTTCTTATTTTTACTCTACAGTCAAAATAATAAACAAGAGTACTTAAAATAAATATGCAGACGAAGCACCGCAAAACAATCTTACCTGAGGAAACCGAACATATTAAAGCGAGATGCGAAATCATGGTGACATTTTTTGGTCAAATATCGGTAAGAACAGAAACGAAAGAAAGAAACAGCAAAGATAAGCATATTGTCAACAAGAATTCTATATAAGCGGTACGAAGATCCGTCGCGAGCGTCTGTGCGTTCGCCTTCCTGCGTTGGTGAATCGACGTCGACTGCCATGCAATTTTACCTAGTTTAGCATTGGAATAACGATTAATAATATTAAATTGAAATATACTTATAACATACTACTATTGCATAGAATATGTCAGTTAGTTGCCCACGGTGTTAGTCTTCGAACGATGGCGCACCTGCGGATGGTTCGTGCTATTTTCTACATGCGTGCTTGCTTAAACTTTTTACCGAACTTTGCCATTAAACAATGCAGAAAGGGATATGTCAAACTCTCGAACGTTCCATTCTGACGATCACCGACGGCCCAACTCCACGACACCTTGGAACCATTAACTCAATTTATCAAGTCAATAAAATGCTTAATGTTATACTTCGTCCATTTTTATAGTTAAATAAATTTAAAACGAAAAATTTAGCTGTATCATAATAGGGATTGATTCTGTTAAGTGTGATATCCTCAATTATGAAAATACATCATTCACTTTTACAATTTTGCACCAAACGCGTTTTTGAACTAATTAATAAATCACTCATGGCCTCACTTAGATATTTCAATTGTAGCACTAAATCGATGCTTCAATGCAGCTAGCATTAAATGCGAAGCTTATTCTTAACGAATCGAATGCTAGCCAAACGCCAACTGATTCTTTAGTGCGACCATAAATGTTATTAATTGCACTACTCAGTACTAAAAATTATCTGACTTGATTATGTTTCACAATAAGGATGATTGATACACAATATTATCATCTCATCTGCAACCCTAAGGGTGTTGCGAATATCAATGGCGGCGGTTATCACTTAACATCATCTGAACCGCGAGGCACGCTTGGCACCTTCTCACATAAAAAATACAGATATTTTATTTGTAGTTTAAATTACAGGGTTCTTTAGAAATTGTGAAATTCGGCAATTATTGTTTAAATTCACATTCCGGCTAACATTGTAGTGCGAAGAAAGTTCGCAATTTAGTTTTATTGCTTATTTCGAGAATTGCATGCGTGTACGCACTACTTTAGGCCAATATATGTGAATATATTATATAAATATTCTAAAATTTTCAGGCGGTCACTTACTACAAAGTAAGAAATCAGTTTAAATTAGGTGTTCCTAAGCACTTACAAATATTTGAACAGTCCGTGCAATGTTAATAGAAAATAAAATATCATTTGGTTTTTTCAATATAGAACTGTACAAACGAATTGTATTAATGTAGTAATTCTTTAAAAATAAATATTGAGACACTTAAAACTTTATCAAAACAATGTGCTAGTGAAATCACCGACAAGTTTATTTTGAAAAATAATATTATTTTAGGTTCTGGTATATACCGGAACCTAATCAAAGATACAAGAATAAAAGAATGGGAAAGTGACAGTAAATTTAAAATCACTAACTTATTTGTAACCACATAATAAGAGCTCAGACAATTTTAAGTTTCAAATCTGTTGAGTAGAGTCATTCAAATAATAGAAATTCAATAAATATTACGATACGCATTATGTAAACACCGATATTTTTTTTATTTACATTTAGATTAAGCCTAACTATTTGGCCTCGATGTTTACGGAACATCCGTAGAACGTAGTGTTTGATATAACTTCCAGTATAGAATGCGCCAACGTTAATGGTGCCTGCGAATTCAGTCGTGCGAGGGAACTGTACTCGACAACAAATAGTAGAACATGTCACGTGCAAGTAACATTAAAAGCTAATGATCTATCTAATTAACTATATTTAATTTTTAGGGAAAGAATTCATTCGTTAAAATTTGGCCAGGTTACTTAAAGGAAAATAAACATTGGGCCTAGACAATATTTTATAAATTCAAAGATACTAATTTTTAAAATTTTTCATTCTCTGAAGAGTTGAAAAAACAACAGTAAAATAACTTATTTTTTTTATTTTAAAGGAACATATTTCAGATACATACAAACATACATAACGAGTAAATATTATAATCGGATTTAATAATAAATCCGATGCTATATAAACGCGTCATCAGCGTAACGCGCTTCCGTTGCATTGTCGCTTTCCAAAGCATTCGGTTACCCCTTAGTGGTGCCTAAAGTAGTTTTACTTAAAAATCTTTAATATATTAAAAAAAATTATACAAATCTAGGACAAAAAGTTTATTATACCATAAATCTTTGTACGGGAGTGTACTTGAGCGGAGTGTGTACACCGTGCACACAAGCATGCAATCAGGGGAGGGTTCAAGTAGGATAAGAAGGGTTAAATTTGCTACTGCGCAGCCGCGTGCCACTAACTTCAAAGCCGCCATTAAGTTTGGCGCATTCTATACCCTGGCATTATTACTTAAGTAAAAAATTGAGCACGAATAACTAAACAGTACAATAGTGTATGCAATAAGTACAGTGGAATCTCGTCAACTCGAATGTTTAGGTGAATGCTAAAAATATCGAGTTGAGAGAGTTTTCGACATAACACCAGTTTCGAGATAATAATTGTTACCTATGCAAGTCGATTTTACCAATTAAATATGATATAATTGACAAAACTTCGACTTACAACTCTACAATTTATAAGTACCTACATTTGTCGTGTTGTGAAGTCGTGATTAAATAAAAATTCAACGTAAGTTTTATGTAACATATTTAATGAAACAAATAAATTATTAGTGAAGTTTACTTTACAAAAAATAACAACTATTTGTTCAAGTTCAAATTTTAATAATGTACCAAATACATGATCCTCGACAATCACTGTCCTTATTACGGAGAGTAAAGCTATTAGTTTCCGTTTAGTACTCATGTTGATACTTGTCAACTGCCAAATATCTAAGTACAAGTCGATAATAAACTTATTTTCTGGCAATGAGTCCATACAAAAGAACATAACGTACACAGAAGTAGAAAGATTAATGAATACAACTGCATGTGTACAAAGTACACACAATAAAACAAAAGCACCAAACACATTTTTGATTTAATTGCTATGAGTTTGGGGGAATTGCAGTCATTATATTTTAGAAATTTCGGTTTACGGACTCTGCTTTTTGAAATTCAAGTTACATTATACATATATCATAAATATTTACTATCAATACCTTATTAGGAATTAACATTCTGTTCTAGTTACAACGTCAAAATAGCTGGCGATATCGCGTAAATGGGAGAAGAAGAGTTTCGTCTTACTGATGACTTCGTAATAATGTTCGAGTTATCGAAACTCCATTGATGAGTATAATATGAGGGTACAGTAGTCACACGTTTCGAATGCGCCAACAGCAAAACGCTGTTGTGGCGCACATACAAATGTATATGTGTATATGTGTGCGTGGCGTTTAATGTGCAACAACTGTATAATATAGTCGCACGTTTCGAATGCGCCAACAGCAACATGCTGTCGAGGCGCACGTAACAAATGTATATCTGTGTGTGACGCGTGTAAAATGCGCGGGCAGGCCGCGCGTGGGCGTGGCCTGACCACTCGTGAGCGTGCACGCGCACGTGAGCGTGTGCGTGCACGGGCGCGTGTGCGTGTTCGACTCACCGTGCCGTTGTGCAGCGTGGAGGCGAGCGTGGTGGAGTGCAGGAGGTCGAGGCCCGCAATGGCGGCAGGCGCGGCGCGACGTCGCTTGGCGCGCGCTGCCCGCCGCCGGGCGCCGCCAGCACTCGCGCTCCGCTTCCCGCCAGCGCGTCTGCTCCGATCTGCAACGCCACCGCCACGTTACCAGTACCGGCTCACACGACTCGTAGATGTCGTTATTAATGGCGGCCATTTCTTGATCCAAAAAAAAAACCTTTTAAAATGAATGCCAGATAACTGAGCCGCGCCGACTTTTTGTGTATTTCCAAAACAAGCAAGCAATTATCAGTAAGATCGTTGAAATGTGGATAGAATTAGCTACGTTGTATATATAGGTATGTTTTACCAGCTTTTGCTTGTGGCTTCAGCCATATGGTATTCATATTGATCATTAGGTAGATCATTTGATCGATTCAGAGAGCTTCACCATCCTTTTGGCAATTTAAATAACATCTGAAAAGCCATTTGACAACTGATTACATCTACGATGATCAGTGTTTCAGAAACGGGGCGATAAAGTCTTATCCGATCGTTTGTACTGTTTTGACCTATAGTACCATTTTATGGGTTACAGCAGATAAGTGTTTGTTATATATGTCACAGAAACAAGATTACTAATTAAGAGAACTTTTATTTTGCGCCTTCTGACAATGAGTTGGTCTATGTGGCCCGGCCCACCCATTTCCGACACACATTTTTAAAATAAGAAAAAAATTGCAACTGAACGTGCAGTTAACCTGGCCATAAGTGGTTTCTGCCGCCCGTGGACATCAACATGGACCAATCCAACCATTAAAAAAGTGGAATCCAGTTACGTCCCGTCGAACTTCCCTGGACGGGCCTGCAGAAACTGCTGTGAGTCGCCCTATGTCGGAATGAGTGTGTATTGCCTGGTGTCGGGGTACTTCCCTGGACGAACCTGCTAATTCTTGCGACAGGGGAGTCCTCCGTGGGCCCTACCGAGGAAAAAGGTTTGCACCGACTGGAGTCGTGGTACTTCCCCGGACGAACCTGCTCATTCTTGCGACAGGGGAGGCCGCCGCGTGGCCCTACCGAGGAAAAAGGTTTGCACCGACTGGAGTCGTGGTACTTCCCCGGACGAAGCTGCTCATTCTTGCGACAGCGTAGGCCGCCGCGTGGCCCTACCGAAAAAAAAGGTTTGCACCGACTGGAGTCGTGGTACTTCCCCGGACGAAGCTGCTCATTCTTGCGACAGCGTAGGCCGCCGCGTGGCCCTACCGAGGAAAAGGGTTTGCACTGACTGGTGTCCGCGGAGGCCCAGGGCGCGCCCCACTCGCGCGGCGCCGGCTCCGGGCCGGGGGGCGCGTCGTCGGTGCCGCTCGACTCCTCGTCGCTCTCGTCGCTCGAGCGCCGCGCCACGCGCCGCTTCGCCACGGCAGCGCGCGCGCGCGTTCGCCCGTTCTCGCCCCTGCATTACGATAGCACAGAGTTGACAAACAGAGTTTGGAACAAACAAATTGATCCTACCCCCAAGTAGACTGCGTAAAATAATTGAATCTTTCATGGGACAATGTATACGATTCTACAAAAAAATTCCAGAAAACGTTCAAAATGCATCAATAGCTCAATTTAAAAAGTAGTAAAAGAACGTGTGTTAAAGGCCATTATAATATTAATGATTATTTAAATGATAACATACTCTGGTAATGAATTGATCGCTTCAGGCTCTTTCAATCAGAGTTCTTATATGTATTCGTAATGAATTCATGTCAAACGGTTTATTTAAAAAAAAGCCAGCTGAGTTTCTTTCGCCGGTTCTTCTCAGTATAGTGGCTGTCTTTTCCGAACCGGTGGTAGTAATTTGACTATTAATAAGCGAGTGTAATACTCCTATGTTGAATAAAGACATTTGATTTTGATTTGATTTTGAAAAACACACTGGTCTTCAATTGTAACTCTTGAAATCCTGTAGCCGGTATTGAAAATTTCGTTATCAGTTTAAGGTGCAGAATTACCAAGTTCACGACGGTGAACAAAAACATAGTGAGGAGGCGGAATTTTTTTTTAAATTTTAAGCGTCAGCCGACTATACCCTGCCTTTTTTATGTGAGATAATGGCAAACGAGCTGGCGGTCTTCTGTGAGGTCGTGGCACTTACCCGGACGGACCTGCCCATTCGTGCAACTGTGAATACTGTTGCGTGGCCCTACCACAACATTTTTGATTTCTTTTTACTTTTATGAGGAAAAAGGTATAGATATTATATACTGGCGTGATAACTTTTATGAGGGCAGTTTTGGTCAACAAAATACAAAGAATAAGCTATCTAAATATTGGTACTCGGCAGCTAAATATCGATGTTTTCAATACTCGACACTACCTGGCTTTCTTTCTTTCTTTCTTTTTATACTTTAAGATTGCAACAGATCCCTTTGATACTATGGTTTATTTCTTTTAGGCGCTAAAACAGTTTATCAAAATTTTTTAAACAACTTTTAATCTAATTTTTTTTCTTAGATCAAGCAAAACATCAGAGGTGGCAATTTATTTATTTGCCATTACACAAAATACGATTTATGATGCTACAATTATAATTATTTTTAGTTCTACTTGTATAGCCACTTACAAATAGCATGTAAATAAATAGCATTACAATTATACATTGCGGCATGATACCAGAATTTTAAAATGAAATAAGTTCGTCGTTCAAAAGATGTTGGGACACACAAACAGATATTACACATACAATAGTCATTCTGTAGCAAAAAAATTGACAAAGACCGGCCAAGCAACAGCTGAAGCGATTTTTTTTTACAAAATACCGAAACTTACTTGTGACTGAACTCATTGAAATAGGCATTTATTTTTTATACCTCTGCCGAACGCGTGTAAAAACTCAATCTTTTATGTCAATATTCGGTGCTCAATAGTCAAACCATATCAGTATCCATAACGTATCAGTATAATAAAGCTCATTGTACGGTCACTAACGTGTGCATAAGTCTGAGAAGACTAACGAAATCAACATTAGCCGTATTACAGCAATGTCAATCAAATTAAATCAACTACTTAGGTTTATTAAGTACGATTCACACTATATGGGGTACATCGGAACGCGTAGACGTGAATCGGATAATGACTTTGTGGCGCAGTTATCAATGTATTGGATTCGGCGTCGGGGGTTATAGGTCCGATTCCCAAACGGGATAACTATTTCTCTGACCCACAAATAATTGTTTCTGATCCAAGTGTGTGCCCACGTGAAAATTATGCTAGTAAAACGTCCTTAAAACACAGGATAATGTCATCCTAAGGGTATTGTATAAAAAAAGAAAGCAAAAAAAGGATGACGCAGCAGCAGTGTTGGCTATTCTACTATCGCTTCCACGAGCTGCCGAACGTAATCACAGAGGTTATTATTAAGTTATTATTAACAGTACAACCTCATAGAATAATTCCGCTTAGTTGCAGTTTTAAAAAAATAATATAACTGATCTTCTAAAAATAATCTATTACGATTCTGTAAATATATTTGACAAGATTTACTTCACTCGACAATTGTTTAATGCCAGTTTTGGGCTAGAGGTGTTCTGCGAAACGAAAATCTGCTTAAAAGTGCAGGGTTGTCGCGTCGCGGTTCCGTTACCTGACGGTGGGTCGGGGCCGGGCCACCTTCCTCCGGCGCTCGGGCAGCGATCCGGTGCTGTGGTTGCTATTGCCGTTGAGCAGGTCGGGCGTGGGCTGGCGCGTGGGAGGCGCGCTCAGGTGCCGCTTGCCCTCACCATCGTCACCGTTCTGACAACCCTGCGCACAGACGGCCGCCGTTCAGTCGATCGGTAAGCCAAGTGGCGACCGCCTTCCAATCAACTACCCACCTGAAGGTATACATATGACGAATAGTCCGATGGAACCCCGCAGCTCTGCATTTTCATATCGATATTTATAGTAACAAAGGAGGATACAAACCAGGATCGAGATTTACTTATAGTGGTCGCACCCAAAACTGTTCGGATAATACGCCGATAACATATGTATATGATCAAGAGTAGATAAGCAAGGTAATGTATTAACGCCTTTTAACAATTAACAATATTAAGAAACATGATGTATTGGAAACAGACCCTTTTGCTGACCTTGAGTTTCGGGTTTTTCAGTCTTTGAAAGTATCTCTCCAATTTGGTCCTATCTATTATATGTAAATAGTAAGAAACTGGTTTTCCAGTCCACGAGACGGAGCCCTTGAGCGGTGACATTTCGCTAACGTGCATGATGGTCCCGATGTCACTCAGGTTTCTGTCAGTTATCCTGAAGTTCAGCGGACAGAAACTCTTCGAAGAGACTATCTTCGCCCCGTCCTTCAAGTCCGCGAATCTCTCCTTCAGCTGGTGGTCCACGTGCGGCCCGAATGCGAAATTATTGACGAACACGATTGTGGCCGCGTTGATTTTCTCCCTGTGCTCATCCAACAGGAAGTCGCCCTTAATCAGCTTGTATTCTCCATACTTCTTTCCGTACCACCTCATCCACATCCTAAAATGTAAATCCATACTCTGAAATAAAGGATGCAAAATAAATGAATGCTTAAAAAAAAAAGAAAAATAGCGATTCGCGCGTGAAAGTTATTCCGTACCTCGGCATATTTACTAGGCACTTCCGCTTTCTCCACTCCCAGGCACACTCTGCACGGCGTCGCTGCCGCCATCTGCAGCACCACCTGACCAACTCCCGAGCCCAAATCAACGAAAACATCTTCAGCCGTTATATCAATTTGATCGATCATCTGACAAACCAATTCGTATGACGTTTCACCGTACACCTGAAAATGCAAGCGCAAAGTTTAAAACGAATAAAATTTCGTATCATTCAAAATAAAATAGCAAGAAATTATACGAACCTCTGGCGAGAAGGGTTCATATTGATTAAGCTTATCTGGATCAGATACAGCCTGATTGTACGTTTGTTGCAAAATATGTTTCAATAAACCTCGCGACGGATACTTATTTAAGCGTTGAGCTGGCAGTGAAGTTCCTTTTTCCTGGAAGAATGTGCAAAATGAAAGTAGTATAAATATATTTTACTCTCTTGATATCAGATTTTAAATATGTAATTGACATTAACTGCTCAGAGATATTTTCATGCTGTTACAATTACGAGTTTTGTAATGTGACCAAATTGATTACTATTAAAATGAAATAGGTAATAGTTGTTTTTTAATGTGAACATTGTTCAACATCATTAAAAAATAAATCATGTCAATTTCATCCATGCCTATTTAGCTGTCCCAAATATTAACAAGAGTTGTAGATTTTTCATTATGAACAAGATATAAAATAATATTCAGCATAATCGCCTTTTTTTGTAAAATTTATGTTAAATAAATTTTAAACTCATTAAAAAAAGAAACTAGTCCCATTCACTACCAAGTTAAATACAAATCGTACCACAGCCCAGTTAAGAATTAACCGAACGGATCGTTGTGTAACGACAATTACAAAGTGAAATCCAACAAATAAAACTCCCGAAGTTGGCACATTAATAAAGTACCTACTTTAAAGGTTGCAAACGTTATACAACCGCGTGCGTAATAATATTCTTTCGTAGCCTTGACATTGCCGGCATGGCGAAATGACCGATCGATAAAGCACTCAAATATATTATAGGAGTTATGTAGTTTACCTTGGATCCCATTACAATTCAACATTTATTTCGAAAATCAACTATAGCTAGCGAATCGAAATCAGCATGTTGATGTTGCTCTGCAACGATTAAGTAAATGAGAAACTCGTTTTGACGATGTCATTAACTCTAAATTTAGATCTGTTTAATATATTCCTATCCGATATTTCTACAATGTTGTTTGTAATGTTATTGTTTAGAACTAATCAGAAAAATTCAACCAAATTATATTTTTCTTGAATAACATTGATAACACTGAAAAGCTCGTAAATAGCTATTAAACAAAAAAAAATAAAATCGGTTGACAATCAGAAGAGAAAAAGTGCATTTCTATAAAATTGTAACTATGTCAAATCTCACACTTATGATTAAAAAGGTTAATCTTCAGTCATTATTATAATAAAAACAACACGAATGAAATATGAACCGAAGATTTAGAATGAAATATTTTTCGTTCCAATACAATATTAATAATATAAACTCCGCTGCACCAATAACTAAGCTAAAGTGTAAAGGTAATATTATAATTTTCTTAACTACAAGTTCTTTAGTAAAACTGTTTTCTAGGAGGGAAGGAAAAAATTTACTAATAGTAACATGGTCAATTTGTTTTTTGATTATAATTATAATTGATTATAATGGTTCGTCGTATACACCTTTGATTATGCTGAAGAAACATGTGTCTCGGTTTAGAGATGTCGATCCAAGTTCGCTTTGTAAGACAGGTCTGTGGTAATGCAATACCATTTTCTATTCTTATATATCGTAGCAAAGCTCGGTTTATCCAAACATTACATTGAACGTTATGGAGGAATGTAACGCGTAATATTCAAGGTTAAAATGTGAAAGCTGGCGGATACTATGATAAAATGTAAATTGAACGTAAACTTCTCGACATACCATACAAATTGGGTTATTATAAAAATTGTTATTCTAATCGTCTACGTTGTTATTTTAATCACATGGTTTGCTTCAAATATGTGAAGAAACTGAACAAAAACGTCAAAAATTCTAGAAACGCTCTAAAAATAACAGTGTTGAAGTTTTATACCTAATATATTTTCCCGCATTTAAAGTGCAGATATTTTCACACGCTAAGGTCACAAATAAAGTAGGTCATTGCAATGTATCTTTGTGTGATTTGGTAAAATAAAAAGATAATAGATGCGTCGAACTATTATATTTCCCTTAATACTGTTTTTGACATGAAACTTTTACAAAAAAACTTTACACTGTCAATAATCAAGTACAAGTAAGGCGAGTGTTCTCTAATTGGATAAGGAACTTGCCCATCTCTAACTTTTCGGCTAATAAGTAGTAATGCCACTTGCCAGTTTGATATGTTACTCGACCTATAGTTGGACGTCTATAAAAATAAGTTTAATTAGTAAGTTTTTAACTAAAACTCGATTTACCAGTATAACTAACAAACACTTCAATTGGTAGAATATGTTATACATGCGATCCGTATGAGGAAATTGAATTGTGACGTGGTACGGGGGACGCGTCGAATGTCGAGAGTTGTTACATGAGTCTAGATAGGAAGAAAAAAAAAACAAGCCCATGCCGTGGACGTAATCGATTGCGACGACCGAGGGCCGGGCCCGCCACTGGCTGGGGGCAGCGCTCCGTCGCCGCCGTGGCCTCGCCATGTTTGTTTACGTTCCGCAGGCTTTCATTCACAACATCGATCACACTTATATCGAACCAGATAGGAGGCTACACAACATACTACAACCACGTCACTATGTTATACAACTCGCGTCCCGCGTTAATCCACTCCTGAAATCTTGTCAAAACATTTGATAACTTTAATTGATACAAAATGTACTAAGTATTAACGTTTCGATTATTATAAAATTACTATAAAACTTATTGATTACTTTAAAAACCAGATTGTTTGTAAACTAGCATACGATCAAATTATCGTAAAGCGGCCATTACAAGGAACCTACAAAGCAAGTGTACTACATTGGCCTAAATATGGCACTAAACGGGAAACATCAACAATTAATCTTCACTTTTATTTTAATTACGTGACTTAAAATGCATGTGTATAGCACAACACAGGTGTAAAAAAACATCTATCTCTTTAAACAAATTTTATAATATTATATAGTTTTATAATATATAGGTATTATAACATTATAAAATTTGTTTAAAGGGCTTTTTTGCAGTTTTTGGTTGGCTTATAAAATGAGAAATAGTCAACAAATTCTATAAAGCATTAAGATATAACAAAAATGGACGAATTAAATCGGTAAGAGGCTTATAGAACGACGCTAGCGCAGCCAAAAAAAGGTCATTAACACTACATGAGACATTCGCGTCCGCTCAATATTGCGGTCATCGCCCCCAAACACGACCCAACGAATCTCGTATCACAATTTGCAATCTAAATGTTTTAATGATTCAGATATGATATATCTAAATCACTATCAAACAACGCGTTGAAGTGTTATCAACCGTAACAGCAAAAGTTCGAAAATTTTACATCTGCGAGATTTGAAGATGACTACATCTTTTTTTTAAATAATAAGTGAAGGTTATCAACTTTTAGGAGTCGGGTCTAGCGCCTAGGTCACTCAACTCAAACATGGACGTTAATATCGACGACTGAGAGTTTGTAATCCGAAAACTTTCACAAGTTATAAAACTGTTTTTTATAAGTATCAATAATGTATGTAGAAATTTTTGACGTGACTTCAAAATATTGTGCTGTTAAGTTGTAAGGAAATTTTCTACCGTCGCTTTTGAAAATTAAATTGATTTGAAACAGCAAAACATGTTTTAATGTAATATTTTCTAAACTAAAAACTGTATATTTTACGAGAGAGTATTACTTAAAGAAATAAAATATATATTTATTATAAATAAATGAATAGAATAATCATTTACTCAGAAATATCAATATGGTGGATATTGTAAGTTGATAAAAACTATTGAAAAAAGGTTTCTTTTAAAAGCAGATTTAAAAATAGATTGCGAAATAATTGTGATTATTATCACGACAGGGTAAGAACAATGTTTGAAATCGCATAGCCGTTAATTTATATTTCTGTTTTTACTCGTCAGCAGACAACATATAATAATTCACAATGATATGTTCATGTGACACGGCATGGGCAAAGTACTACTACGCTTCCTCGTCCTATTATTACTCCATCTCTGCTTTAACGCATCTAGCGTCTCTTTTGCGTAACTATTACTCGACAGAATTTTACCTGCTTCCATTTCTAGGAAGCTTCATTGTTACTTGCATTCGAGTGGAAAGACATAAAAAAACACAATGATTATGAAGGTACATAACCATTCACTATTTCCTTTCGGATGTATTAATATTCGTTGAGACCCAATTCAAAGGACTGCTAGGTCTATAAAACATATTAACGTTCTCTTCAAAAATGCCTATAATTCAATACACGTTATCCATGGGTCTCTGCTAATATCTAGAAATATAATTTATTGTTATTTTCGCGCAGTTCAACGATCATTTATATTTTACACGATTAGAATTCTACAAGGTGGTGGGTCACAAATCACATTTCCTATATCGCGCCTGCAAGGTTACTGACGCGATAAGTATGCGCATGACATCGATCAAAACACCGGTGACATCATTGCCAACGACATTGGAACTCGGTTATTGCGGGTCTTTTGTTGTACTAATATAAAAAAAAGGTCGATACATCGCCCCGTGCCATCTTCAAGGATATTCCTAAAATCGGTAACGCGACGTGGTATATAGTAAGAAAATATTTGGTCTGTTTTTCATCACGATAATAACATTTTTCCATTTAAAATACATATCTATGTATTCGGTGATTTTTAAGACGAATACAAAAAAGGCAAACACAAAGTTCACAATCACTATCTTCAAAAAATCACAGGGTTGACATTACCATAATATGAAAAATAACTGAAAATTTATTATAGCATATTAACGATTTTGCAAGCTATTTTCGCACTTACTCAGCCGTAGAACCGTAATAACTGTATTTGGGACAAACATGAAAGTAGTCATCGTGTAAAAAGTATGAATTGTTAGCAAGCGCTTGCTCTACATATTTCGAGCTCTTCTTGTACTTTATCTGACAACAAGCGTTTATTTATTTATCAACAGTGGTAGATTTTTGTTGACGTTCAATAAGAGCTTAAGTTAGGCCTATATTGAATAAATATACTTTGACTTTGACTTTGAACAGGGAGTAGTTGAAGCCATAAATAATTCCGAGACAAAAGTTGACGATATTTAAAAATAAACACGTTCAGTGAAAAAGTAAAAACTAAAGTTGAACCAAAATTGTGTCTATCTTTTATCAAGTACACTCCTGCAGTTGGCAGGCACAAAGTCGGGGCTACGTAAGAATGAGGCGTCGTTTTCGGATCCCTCTAATTCGGTTCGGGCCTATTATTGTGATGTTCTTCCACGCCGCGGTGGGAAATGGTATGCGACGCTTATAAATAGAGTAGCCTCGTGCGGTGTCTGCTACGGACATCGATCGTTGCGTCCTCGCCGCCATCTTGGCCCTCGTGTCTCCCTCTTGCAGTCGTCGCCCCACTCCCCGCCGCAGCCCCTCACTGCCCCACATTCACTCCTTCATTTCGCACATGCTACACAGTATGCCCGTTGTGTATTGAAAAATACTGGTACTCTATAAAAGTTGCGTTGAATACAGCAGTTCGAGATTTATTATACGTTGAACTGCACACGGTACTAACAAAAATGGGTCGAATAGTGAACTAAACGAGGCGTAGGTCTATAATGTTTTAGTTCATACATATGCAGATTTTTATGTGTACGTTAGGGAAGTGTATATATAAATAAAGGTGACATTGAAGATGTTTCCGCGATGTGAAAACTATGCCAAGTGTATTAAAGTATTTTAAAATATAGAAAGTCTGCTTTTTTTTATGTATTATCATAAACATTTTAAAAGTGAACTATGTTTATCGTTGTTTGTATTGATAAAAATGATAATATCTTTTCATATATATCAATTAATGCAGAAAAATATTTATTTGAATTAAAATTAAGCGTTCTAGTACTTCAATCCGTTATAAGATAACCTATTACAAGATTGACATCAGTGTTTTACGCATTGAAATATTTACTTTAAATATACGTATTTATGAGATGTAAGTAGGTTCATGACAAGATAATAATATAGGTATTTTTACTTATATCGTTTACATAACTTACAAAGTACAAAGGTAATTTATAAATGTATTGTACAATCTAAGCTTGTCAAAGACATAATATAAAATTATTCACATAGCACATACCACGATCATACCTGTATATACAGATCAAATAAAATCAGCAGCCACAAGAACATGCAGAAAATTATCGAGGGCGATCCGAAGGTGAATTTGTATTTAAGTGACCTTCCGAGATAACTGTACACAAATAGCCAGCGATAGCACGAAGCTGCCCTACAGCAAAAACATTGTAGTAAAATATACGTAAGTTATTTAAAAATATTAAAATATAACTACCTAAATAATATAAATACAATTTGATTTTACATTTATAAGAAAGTTTATCGAGTGTTCAATTATTTTGGGTTGTCTGCTTCGTTCGTGTAACCTAAACGGCGGGGTAGAAAAAATTAAAATGCGCATGCTAAAAGTTATTAACCCTTAGTACTGGGACTGAAAAGCTTATCGGTATATTGTATGAATAATTAAAAAAAAAGTTTTATTAAAAAGTAGAAAAATTGAATTTATTTGGTTTATTTTAGTGTGAGTAAAATTTCTATACATGTCCCACAACTGGGCAAAGGCCTTTTCTATACAGAGGGTATCAGGGCATAGTCCACCACACGGCTCAACTGCGGATTGGCGGACTTCACATAAATATTTTTTTTATTATTATTTCGAAAATATGCAAGTTTCCGTAAGATGTCCTTCACCGTTGTGATAGTTCAGCACTTGAAATTAATAATTTCATTAGTGCCGGCACCGGGGATGGAACTCAGATTGCTCGAGTATATTGAATTACAGGTGAGCGCCCGGACACTGAGCTATCACGGCTTTTTTTTTAAATTTTAGTATTACCATTTCATGCGTAATAAATTAAAAACTTGGTAATTTGCAGATTCATAAACATTATATGTACACTTTTTTAAATTTAAATTTTATGTTGACTGACATACAGATCAGTACAAGAAAGTAAAAACAATCCTAAAACTTCATGACATAGGCTATATCATCTATCGTTCTATTATTCATTGTAAATTATTATTTGAAAGTGCTGTACTGTAAAGTTGCTCACTAATTAACGTCAAGATTTCGCGCCGAGAGGATATCAGCCGCTAAACGCAGCTGACTAGAGCGTCTTGGCTCATTACCAGAAGATGCAAGTTCGAATCCTGGCAGGGCTATAAATTTTAGCCCATTTATATATTAACACCACGGCTCAAATACGTAAACAGGTTAAAATAAAATCTAAATTATATATTGTTTCAACGATTTTTACCATTAGGTAAAAATCATTGAAACAATATATTCTTTTCTTCTCTTTTTCTACCGAACCTTGACTACGCGGACACTTGTTATCCGGATCTAACTGAGGAGCAACTTAATAAACTTGAGCGGCTTCAAAATTACTGCATAAGGTTTATATTTGGGTTGCGAAAGTATGACCACATATCCGAATTCCGCCATAAGCTCAAGTGGCTCTCGATTCGTCTTCGCAGGTATACTCATATTCTTCATCTTCTTTACTGCATTCTGTTCAATCCCACCACACCTCATTACTTAAAAGATCAATTTATATATCTAAATGATTTAAACTCTCCGTTCTCAAAATAATTTTCTACTAAGTACTCCTAGTCACTCCTCTTCCTTCTATGCTAATTCTTTTACGGTTTCTGCTATATGTTTTTGGAAGTCTCTTCCTTTAGATATTAAACAATTTAAATCTCTTCATATTTTTAAAAATAAATTAAAATGTCATTATCTATCCTCTTAATCTACTATCTGTCATCCATCATATATCTTTTTCTGTCTATATGTATACAGCGTGTCGTTACCATCGCGACAATAAATGAACACTCGTCTAACGCTACTTGCCAATAATCATAAAAAATATTAACTTCAAAAAATCCATAATTAAAAAAATTAAGTAAAAAAGAAACAAAATTTTAACATCCTATACAACTCGCGCCACAGCGTCGCATTACAAGCCTCTCCTTCTAACAGTATGTTTTGTCTTTTTAAATTCATTCAACCATATGATTTGTAAAGGACAAATGAACTTTACGTTGCAGTTTTATACGTAAGGATGTTCTAAAATTGTTTGTTTTGGAAAATTTAATAACTCGGTAAATATTGATGTTTGAAGAATGTAAAAGTTTAATACAATTTTAAAAAGTTATCCTCTATAATTATGTGTGTTCATTTATTGTCGCGGTGGTAACAACACGCTAAATATACAGGGATATTTTTAAGAAGTGCCCAAATTTACACAGGAGGTTCAGACTCGGTAGTAACAACAGCATAACTAAAAAACAGAACGTGTTGACAATGCGGTAGTCATTCATAAATACCTAAATTTTACTGTACACGAACTTGTGTGCGTGTAAGTTATGAATGATAGTGCGTAAAATAAATGAGTTGCGTATAAATCACGCACTTTTTGAGATAAGTTCAAATGAATGTAATCAATTACTTACGAGTGATATTAAATATTTATAATTTTTTATATAACATTATTTAAGTCTAGAATTTAATAAAAAAATGGATACACTTAGAAAAGCCACCCTGTATATTGTTTTGTGTATTTACGTTTCTTATTTATTATTTAGTACACCCTACCGCTTTATTCTTTTAATGAATCCTCTGCCCTAAGGTTGCCTGGAAGAGATCGCTGTTTTAGCCATAAGGCCGCCTGTTGTACCCATGTGTCTTTGGTTATAAATCCTGTATTTCTCTTGATGTAACAATAAAGTATATTTAACTTTTTTTAACTTTTATTTTTGGGGAGCAAATTGAAATTGAAAGAGTCGACACGGCCGGTTTCAATAGCCGATCTACAGATTTTGTTACTTTTTTTGATTACTTAAGATATAACTTTTGACTTATTATGGAGCAAACACCTATCGCTAGTAACCAAATCTATCTGTAGATAGAATATTGAAACCAGCCGTTATACAGTAGAATAAATATATTGCATATTTACCAAAGCAACCACGGAGTCGATGGCTCGGTTGAATCGGTCACAAAGAGCACGCATGCTCTCGTATGAGTGCGTGTCATAGTCGCACAGGATGTGTTTCTCCAGTGCCGCTTTTATCTCCGGCAAGTCGTCGCAGACCCACCTGTGCATGTAAACAAGATTTAGAAATACTCATTTAAAGACTATTCAAAGATTGTGTTTATTATGAGCATGGCCAAAAAATTAATTACCATGCCATAAAAAAATACAGTGCAAGGATTTTTTTTTTATTTTAGCTTTCAGGTTACAATTAAAATACCGTAATTGGCAGATCTTTATTTCAGTAGGCTTTTATGGCGGTGACAGCGCGACATGTTTTAATAACAGCTACCGTTCAACCGATAGAAAGTGATTCATATCGACACAAGACGCTTTATTATAACAAAAGAAAATTTTAGATAACTACGCGTTTAAGGTCATACGTATTTTTGTAACCTTTACGTTAAAGCTAACCGCAGTGAGCGGCAGGTGTCGTTGTAACGGCAATAGATATAATATCTTAAGCAGCTGTTCAATAACGAAAGTCGGAGCGCTAAAGGTGGATTCAATGACGATTGGTCGCAAATGTAGTCAGAATAAAGAGAGATACCATTTTCAAGCATTATTGTTGCATGTTCAAATTTTGATGAAGTTTTAATTAACTTTTGAAGATGAAAAATCTAACATTACTTGAAATGCTTAATAAATTTAAAAAAAAGTTTTTTTTAAATGAATAACTGTCGTAAACTTATTACGTATATTAATTGTCGAAAACTTGTTATGAATGAATTTATTGACCCTATGAAAATGTTTAGCATTTATTTTTTGTCAAGTTTTTCTATTATACATATTTAAGTAATGTATTAATTATTTGTATTCAATGAGACCGATAACCATTAAACCCATTGGATATTTGCATGTACACAAAATAGATATTGAAACAAAATTTTGAGATATTTTTAGTCGATCGTGGGGTTTCAAGGTCACGAAGGAAGAGCGAACGCGTCCGGTCGGGGAGAGGTCGCATTGTCGGCACACAGCCCTCGCTATCCCGACCGTCGGCCGCCGCGGAACCGACTGAACGGGTCAACTCGCCAAACAAGTTCTCATTTCCGACGTGCAAGAACAAGTGATCCCTTTTTCTACCTCCGTAACATAATGCCAAAAACTGAGAGCACCATCAAATGCTTTGTTTGATAATGATAGAGCCATAAATGTTACGAGTGCGCAATATTTTTACGAATATGTTCTGTGAATAATTTTGTACTGTATTGTTTTATCAATAATTGTCATTAATATTTTATTTCGTTAATTTTGCTTACATAGCATTAAATAAAAAACATCAGAATTTATTATGATGTGAGAAATATTATTCTGTTGTCCATTGCTCTACATATGTCCTTGCAGAACAGTAACTAGAGCACAATGTCATTTAAAGACAATATTAAATTACAATCATAACAGTATGATGTTATATAAATAAATATCATTTTATTAATTTCATATTGTACATGACAATTTAGATTTGGAAGAAATAAAACTATAACAATAAATACAAATAATAAAATTTTACTTACAAAAAGGTAAGATACTAATGACTATTATGTAACATATCAAAGATACTTTTAAAAAAAATTAATGAATAATACATTGGAATTTCAATTACAAAGTGAGTAAAGTAACTGGTATAATAAATGTTTAGAGATTTATCACTCAATTGCTATAATTAACTAGGAATAGTCGTTTTTTTTGTATTTTGATAAAAATTTTAATGTATATCAGAATTGTTAGCTTCATTAAATTTTAATGTGCATTATTATCATAAAATTAAATATTTTATATATCTGGCGAGTCTTAATACATGACCAAAGTTTTTGGTTATAAAATTAAGGGTCAGATTTACAATTAATTATTTATGATGTTACTAAATAGGTTTAATCTTCAATATCTAGCAGTTGTATTAAAAATCAAAATACATTTAGGTTACCTTTGTGCAAAACTGTCCATGAAACAGCACTACCCAATTTATCACATAATATGCACATCAAGTAATGCAATTAGATTTAGCCTGGATAGTTTTGCAGATTCTCTGGCCTCAACAAGAATAATTTATATGATTTATTTTTGTCATTGTAAGTTTAAAGTATTGGCATAAATTTATTTTTTTTAACCCTAGTTATAGGTTAAATTTTATTTAGTTTTCGTTTTTTTTTTTCCATTTAAGTTTTCTCTCTGTTTATATTAGTTATTAAGTTAAAGTGTATTATTGTCCATTTTCTGTTCAATTTAAATATGCATTTTGTGTCCACGTCTAGAAGAATGCACTTTTGTTCTTGGAATAATTGGAAGCTTATATGAACAAGGTTGTATTCAGTTTTGAAGGCCTAATAAAGAAAAAAAAATCATACATCAAAAAAATAATCACTAAAACTATACATCCAATATTGTAAACTACCTAAGTACTATTTTTCACAATATGTATGGGAAATGCACCAACATATTTATATACTACAATGTTTACAGGTTATATTTCAGGGATATTTCATTAATAGTTCACCACAAAGAATTCCTTTAACACTAGCCAAATCTAACAACAATCTAACCTTTATTTTTGTATAGCAGTTATGACAATAATTTTCTAGTTGTCTAAACAACAACTTATTTTTTAGCAAATTTACATACAGGTTAATACGCCTTGCCATTGCAATCAGATCACTCAATTATTGCAAAGGCAAGGCGTCGAAGGAATACCTTACATAAAAATCTCAAAAATCTTACCTTATAGTCTCTACTATTTCCAAGGCCCCATCGTGTTTGTCCTGTAACAATGAAAATAAATTACTTTTTTTACATATAAGAAAACTTGTACTACATCCTTACTAATATTATAAATGTGAAAGTTTGTATGTATGGATGGATGTTTGTTATTCTTTCACGCAAATACTACTAAATTAATTTTAATGAAACTACAATAATATAGCTTATACATCTGAATAACACATAGGCTATAATTTATATACATATTTTTATGTATATCTGTCTTTCTGTCTGAATGTTACACCTTCAGCTTATTCTAAACAGACATAGTCACGGGCAGCAGCTAGTATGTTAATAAAAATGTGCTACATATTGTACTGTCTATGAATATTTATCAAATAAAATGTTAATTATATTTTTCTTAACCTTAAACTAATAACTATCAGAATCTTTATTACGAACTCCAAGCATAATAAAATTTATTATATTTGATGATAAAGTGGCACACACAAAAAGAGTGAATTACCTAAATGATGAGTTAAAATCTCCACACTAAGATGTTTATTAGTTTTCAAAGATTTAACATAAAACATATGAATCAATGAACCAAAAAAATATTGATAAAAGATTCAATGAATAAAAACTATTTTTAAAGTTTAAGTACTATTAAACAAATTAATTAAAATTTATATTTCAAATGTGAAAGCTTAATTATAAAAAGTAAATGTAGTTTATTTTAGATGAAAATTGTTTTTCAAATTGGGGAAAATTTTAAGCACATATTTTCATACCTATAGTCAGTAAATGTAAATTTACAAACATTCCTTATTAGGCCTTATGACTAGAAACCAAACTAATATATCTATAGTTTTAAATTAGAGTTTTATTAATAGACATCTTATTTTCTTAATTCTAATAGAAATGAGAACTTCACATGTAGTAACTGTTGTTTTGACACCTGATACTATATTCATATAGTCACTATGGAAATATGAAAATGTAAATAAATGACGATTGAAGACTACGCAACAGTGTGTACATATCTAAAAAAAAACGCCGACACCTTGACAAAACACGAGGTCAATACACTCTGCACTACCCATGTGATGTGAGCAATACCCTTTGCTCTATTAGATATCGTTTAAAAATATTATTTTAAGTCAGGTTATGTTTAATGAACACTATTATAATAGGAGCTCATTATATACTTATGTAAGATGATACTCAAAACTAAACATTTATCAAAGTTATGCTGAAGTAAATCCACACATCTTCTAGAGTCAGGAATACGACAAAGTTACCACTGACACATTCAAAAAAAAATGTTTATTTCATAACTATGATACGTTATCACCAATACATTTAAAAAAACCTATAATGCAAAATATAGGATTCTTACCGAGCCATGACCCGACGTGAGAGGCCATGTATAAACAACAGGTTCCGCGCCTGCAGGAGAGTGCAAGCGTAAATCCAAAGCCATGATAGGATAACCGCTGCATTAAAGCACACTGTTTTCACTTATACACTAAAATTATCACTAAAAACACACGATATTAACATAATTTCACTGCACTTTCACACACACACACTCTGAACAACTAGGCTAGACGCCATGTTGAAAATATATTACCAATCAAATCATGGCCGCTTTTGAGTGTTGACATAATATTACCTCTTAGTAGTTTGTTAGGAAATAAATAGAAAAATTTTATATGTAACATGAATAGTTTACTATTAAATTCCACCAGTATTTGAATTTTTTTCACCATTTCGCTAGTGTAATATTCATACGATTCTTTAATATATAAATAAGTTTTTAATATATTTCATTTCGACATCAAAATATAAATCTTATGTGATAAACAACCCAAGCATTCAGATAGAAAAGATTACAACCATAGTCAGAAAATCTACAACTTATTGTTATTTCATGATAAATTCAGGAAAAAAGAATAATGCATCGTGATTTATTCGTAGTAGATAATTTTTCTGATACACAAACAAAAATCAAAATATAATCAGCCCCAATGATATTATATACAAATAAGAAGATAAAATACAATATTAATACGTTATTGATCAGTCCCAATTTAAAAGAACTCGAACTTAGGTCGTAGGTTCACAAATCGTCCTACTAGACCATAGAGAACTTTGAAGTATGTTATAGGGATGCTCAAGTAAAAAAATATATCGATATTTATCGTATCGACATTTTTCAAGTGTATCAATAACTATCGAGTGAAAAAGTATCGTCAGTTTTTCGCGTAATTATTTATAAACCATTCAAATTTCAATTCATAAAAAGGAATAGACATGAAAGAAAAAGATTTTAAAGTTAACGATGCGCGAGGAGCACTTAAAGATAATTTAGTAATATTAAACACGATAACTCAGTGTCACGTTGCCAGTAGCCGTGGTAGCTCAGTTTCCGGGCGCTCATCATTAATTCAATTTACTCGAGCAACCTGAGTTCGATCCCCGGTGCCAGTACCAATGAAATTTTTAATTTTAAGTACTGACTTTTCACGTGCTTGGTGGTGAAGGAAAGCATCGTGAGGAAACCTGCATATTTTCGAAATAATAACCAAAAAAATATTTTGAAAATATGTGAAGTCCGCCAATCCGCAGTGGGGCCGCGTGGTGGACTATGCCCTAATAGCCTCTGTACAGAGGAGGCCTTTGCCCAGCAGTGGGACATTTATAGGCTGTTACTTTACTTTTATTAAACACGAAACTAAAGTTGCGTTTAAAAATACCGAAATTGGCACGAATACATATCGAATATCAATAAAAAAAAAAATATATATATATATATATATATATATATATATATATACAGCGTGTCGTTACCGTCGCGACAATAAATGAACACACGTCTAACGCTACTTGCCAATAATCATAAAAAATATTAACGTTAAACAAAATCCATAATTAAAAAAAAATATATTTTTCAAACAAACTAATTAAGTAAAAAAGAAACAAAATTTGTAACATCCTATACCAATCGACTGACAACGTCGTATTACAAGCCTCTCCTTCTAACAGCATGTTTTGTCGCTTTTAAATGGATGTTCTAAAATTCTTTGTTTTGGAAAATTTAATAACTCTGTAAATATTAATGTTTAAAGAATTTAAATGTTTAATACAACTTTAAAAAGTTATCCTCTATATGCGTGTTCATTTATTGTCGCGATGGTAACGACACGCTGTATATATATATTTATATATATATATATATATATATATATATATATATATATATATATATATCAATAATGACGAGAAAGAAAATATCGACTATATATATCGATATTTGTAGAAAAATATCAATATTTTATTTATTTACATTAACGGACACATTACAATTAACGGGATTATTCAAACTGATAACAATTTTCTGCGAGTTTTTGAGTAAAATAATTTATTTATTGTGCATTAATTATGAAAATAATAGTGTACTATAATTTTTTGTCAAGTACTGTCCTAAAAGGACTTTTTGTACTATCTTTTTTACCGCATCAGGCATCTAAATCCAACCCTGGTTGTTGTGTACGAATACATTTGACGTTTCTAATAAATCTAGTTTTAATATAATTTTTCAATAATTTAAATAAAAAATGTCTGATTCTGAAGACGAAGCCACGAACGCTCGTACTTACCAGGAAATAGCCAATGAAATTGAGCGTTATAAGAGTAATCCAGAAACATCTGGTATGTTTGTGTCTGGATGGGACGATGCTGACCAGGATGTAGATATTGTTAAAAACCCGCAAGGTATTAGAGATTATCAGAGATTATTCCAATTTCGATATGTGGATTTTAGAGATGTTTTTTTCAAGAGAGCTATTCGTGCAGTTTACAATCTGGGCCCCAAAGAATCGTTAAGAAACTTGTTTAAAGAGATAAAGGTATTGACTGTTGCTGCTCAATACATTTTTGAAAATGTTTTGTATGTCTATAAAAATAAGGATACATTTTTAAGACATAATAATGTTCATGATATAAATACTAGGAACAAAAATAAATTGATCCTACCCACAAGTAGACTCTGTAAAATAAGTAAATCTTTTATGGGACAATGTATACGTTATTACAACAAAATTCCAGAAAACGTTCAAAATGCATCAATAGCTAAATTTAAAAAAATAGTAAAAGAACGTTTGTGTGTTAAAGGCTATTATTATAATATTAATGATTATTTAAATGATAACACACTCTGGTAATGAACTGATCACTCCAGGCTCTTTCAATCGGAGTTCTTATATTGTATTTTAACGAATTTATGTCAAACTGCTTATTTAAAAAAAAAATAGCCCGCTGAGTTTCTTTCGCCGGTTCTTCTCAGTACAGTACCTTTCTTTTCCGAACCGCTGGTAGTGTTTTGACTATCAATAAGTGAGTGTAATGCTCCTATGTTGAATAAATACATTTGATTTTGATTGATTTTGAGTCTTAAAATATTTGTTTTTAAATCGTATTAAAAGCAGTACCTCACATTACATAAATATAAATTATAAAATTTAATGATGCTGCATTTGTTTATGTATACATTATAGTGCCCAATCTTAAAGTCCCATTCAAATAAAATGTTAACAGATATGGTCCTTACTTAGTAGTGAGTGTAAGTTCATGAACAAAAGAGTGTTCAAGCACCTGCAAAATCTATTTTGTCTCTTGATTTGATTGTATCCATTAGGAATAACTTATTTTTAAGTGACAGAAAAGTATATCAATTCTAAATCAATATATACCCTATAGTTTATAGGGTATACCCTAAAGTTTATAGGGTATACCCTATAGTCTATACTATTCAATGCCTCTGAATGCGATGATGTTTGGTGAATTGTTGTATGCACACATACAATCCAGTTGTAGAAAGTATGATCACAAGACCTAATAAAATGAATGATGTACTTAAAAATATGTTGAATTGTAATCTCAAAAAAAACCAAAATAAAAACTTTCAGAAAACCCAATTGATCATGTATTATGGGCAGCTGAAAATGGTGAATTAGAAATTCTGCAAAGACTTTTGAAAGATCAACCTGGACTTGTTCATGCAAGAGATTCTGATGGCTATACTCCTCTACATCGGGCTGCCTATGGAAATCATCTTTCTTGTATTTCACATTTGTTAAGTGTTGGAGCTAAAGTTACAACAAAAACTGAGTTAGGTTGGACTCCTTTACATTCTGCGTGTAACTGGAATAATTATAATGCAGCTGCAAGATTATTAGCAGCAGGAGCCGATCCAAGAGCACTTTCCGATGGAGGTAAAATATTGAGTCAAATCTTTAAGAGATAGAAAACAAGAAGAAAACTATACATGTTTTCAAAAATTATTAACATGTCAAGGTTCCTTAAATTTCTGTTACAGAACAAACACCATTACATTTAGCAGCAGCAATAAGCCACTGTAAATCTTCCTTAATTATATTACTACTGAGAGAAGACACTGTAGAGATTGCTTATAGACAAAATAAATCTAAAGAGTCGCCAGAACAACTCGCTCTTGGTCATGGAATATATGGCACATTATTTGAAATGGCCTTACCTGCAGCAAATTATATTAAATCCTTAGGATTTACATGCAACCCCCATGTGAGAGCCTAAATTAAATAACTTTATTTTAATCTGAAAGCTAGTTTTAATTGACAATAAAAGATAACATCATAATAGCAATTAAAAATTCAAATCAAATTATCTTAACATATTAAAGAATTTCATTCATTTAATCATTACATGGATGTATAAATTTTGGTGTTGACTTTAGCAATCATTAACTTTTTGACATTTTGGGATGACACTTATTCATTAATATTATTTTTATTTTCTTGAGATGATTGACTCCTACAGAGTACTATTGTATTGTTAACTCCTAAAATTACCATTAGTACAACCTATCACAAGGACAATAAAAGGCCAAGCCATATACCCCTATATGGCATAATGAAATATTGCAATATACGGCGTGTCGTTACCATTGCGACAATAAATGAACACACGTCTAACGCTACGAGCCAATAATCATAAAAAAATTTTAACGTAAAGCAAAATCCATAATTAAAAAAATATATTTTTCAAACAAACTAATTAAGTAAAAAAGAAAATTTGTAACACCTATACCAATCGACTGACAACGTCGTATTACAAGCCTCTCCTTCTAACAGTATGTTTTGTCTCTTTTAAATTCATTCAACCCATTCAACGTTACGCTTTTATAGGTAAGGATGTTCTAAAATTCTTTGTTTTGGAAAATTTAATAAGTCTGTAAATATTGATGTTTAAAGAATTTAAACGTTTAATACAACTTTAAAAAGTTATCCCCTATATGTGTGTTCATTTATTGTCGCGATGGTATCGACACGCTGTATATGTTTATCAGCGCAGTAGAACCCAAAACAATGATTGTTAAAATTTTATCTGTTTGTCTGTGCGTTCGTGCGCGATAATCTCACTGATTTGGGTGCAACTTTTATTAATGCATTGTAGTACCCTTCACTGTACATTTAGTGTTAGTTGTATTTAAATTGGTTAATAAATAAAAAAGTTATATAAACTTTAAGAACCACATTGAATACTTGTGTGATAAAATGCTATATTTATAATAAGTACAGTTGAATTGGAAGAAACTATAGTTAATTATATATTTTGGTCTGTAAAATGATGATGAATGTAAGTTTTTACTGAGCCAGTGCGCTTACCATCAAAGGCTGCATCGCCACTTACCATCAGGTGGGTTGACACTAAAGTGCTGGCCAGTTAAAAAAAAAGGCCAAGTGCGAGTCGGACTCGCACTAAGGGTTCTGTAGGTACTTTTTAAGCACGATATAAAATGTAGTACATACGGCGGAGCCGCGGGCGTAAATAAATAAAATAGTTATTTAAAAAATCAATTATTTTTGCAATGGAAGTTTGCTTCAGCAATGACAAATATTCTTTTATATATAAATCTTTTCAATTCAAAAATCTCAATTGAATCACAAGGACCAGCAAAACTGCTTAGATACATATCAATTGAACTCATACATGTAGAAATTATAGTTTATTTACTCCACATCATTTAGATTACTACAGATATAAATAACAATCATGAAGCAAAAATGATCAGATTTTTATCGCTTCCATTGGGTCTATAATTCATTACATTTATACTAAAAAGATGTCAATAAGAAAGAAAAGAAAGTTATCAATATTTATTTAATAAATTAAATTAAAAATAAACATATAATTGAAACTTAATTTACTTTTATGAAAAATACAATGACCATAATAATGATTTTTAAACAATAGCAAACAACTATAGATAAAATTATGATTTTATTTACCTATATTTACAATGGTTAAAACACTAAACAGTTTCAAACAACAAAGTTTAAATATAAAATTATTTTACCTTACCTTTACCTATTTGCAATGTACAAACAATATCTCTTTTATTAAATGTAATAATATGTAACATTTAAAGAAAACCTTCAAACAGGAGCATCTGACAATACAAGAAATTGAAGTTGTTAAATAAAAACAATATTTCAGAAAACAAACCGAAATGACAGAGGTGCATAAATATATAAAAAAAAATGTTTACAAAAGTTTTTAATCAATTATCATTCCAATTCTTTTTTACTTAAAACAAAATTCATAATATTCTACATTGGATAATTCATTAATATTATTAGTTTTATCGTTGTGCTTTGGATCCTAAATTTTCAAGGATAATCATTGCACCAGATACAAGATATGATTCGGCTTGTAGATTTTTCAAGCTTATAACAAGACTTCTCCTATCTACTTTGTGTAATTCTGTTATCTTTAGTCTTGTTTGCAAAGTCATATATGGTAAAATCAAACAGCCTAGTCCAATGCATTTACAACGAATGCAATTCTTCCATATTTCTAATAAGTCTTCATCTTTTATTAATGGGCACACGGGTAATAAATTTAAGACGTCAAGACATTTCTTCCTCTGCCTCTCCGTAATAGGATAGTCCGCTCGCTGAAAAGGCGTTAACATAACTGCTCGCCAAGCAGTGCATATAATATCGTCAGGTGGACAGAAAGATTTTAAGAGCAATGGAATAATCTCTTCGTACAATGAAGCACGAAGCAGCAAAGGAATAACATCGTGTATAATTTGTTGGGTTCCGTAACGATGAGCCAATTTTGCGGCTATTTTCAAACCTTCAATGTTTCCGCTAGCAACTTGTGCTAATTGATGAATAGCCAGCACCTTATCTTGCATAAAAGTTGCAACTACCCAAGGCATATCAATTTTTTCAAGATTAACCACATAAAACAATTCCAGAAGTGAAGGCCAAAGGGACTCGCGTTCGCGATTAGTAACTTTAACTGCAGTGTCAGTATCTATAACACTCATGAGACACTGAAAAGCCCGAAGCTTTTTACATTTGTTAAAATCACTTTCGTCGTCAAAGGCAATTCTAGACAAGTAAATAGCGCCCATTTTTGGGCATGTTGCTTTAAGTATATATTTTGCAGTTATAAGCTCTTTTGTGTTTAGGCCTGGTAAACTTTCATGTTCTTTTCGAGATTTTTCGAGTATATTTTCTAAAATCTGTATCCTAATGGAACTAATATTGATACCATTTTTGTCGGCTATTTCATTTGTCGCGCGATTAATATCATAACGAGCTATCTTTTGTACGAAATTGGGGTGAAGATACATGGCATGAATAAGTTGTGCCGGCTCAGTAGACAAGCGTACAAATTCTTCGCACACCCAGTCTATTTTATGTAAAGTGTGACGGGTAGACAGTGTTGCATGTAAACGTTCCATTTGCCTGACAGCCCGGTTACCAGGCTGAAGCGCAGCCCAACGCTGTGAAAACTGAAAACACAAATGGGCTGCGGCTACTTGATCAGCTCCGCGTGCGCATCCTTGAAGAACATAAAAGAGGCAAGCCCCAGCCCATTCCATATTTGCAATGTGGCGCACACACCTATGGGCTGTACGAAGTAAGGGCTCTTCGTGGGAAGTCAACTTCCAAGGTTCATTTTCCTTTAAATTTAAATCTGTGTTTTCATTTTTTGTTCTAGATGTCATGGTTTGTTTCACGGCATTACTGCAAATCATATCTTTAGCTGTTTGCAAATCTTTATCAAGTGACAGTATAGCAACAACTGGTAGCCATCTCTCATAGGTTTCTAAAGTTATCTCAGACTTTAAATGAGTCCACATATCGTCGCGCATAAAAAGATGAAAAGGTAATCTATAAAACCCTATTTCAGGAAACATCCCTTTTACAGAAAATGTTTCAAACTCATATTGCTTTGGAACACTCTTTCTCTTATATTCTTTTAAAAATATTAACAAGAAGTACTCCTTTTTACTACGTGACTCAGTGCTTGGACAAAATATCAAATTATATATACATAGGTAAACCTCATAATAATATGGATTAATTGAAACTACGGAACCATGTAATATAACTTCGCCATTTTTCCAAAAGTCTTGTAATATGTCTTGTAGGAAATCTCTGTTTTCAATGCTTTCCCAAATTGTTTTACATTTTGAAATCAATTCGTTTTCGTTATTTTCCAATTTTAGTTTTCGACAGCTGAGCTCATCGTCTAATAAGTTATATTTTAATTCCCAATTAGTTAAAATTGATACTAGTAATAAAGAGAGACCATCGTTAAAACTTATATTTAATGTACGACATAAATCAAAAAGACGGTCTAAGGCAGTGTTAGGATATTGCCGCAGGACATGGAAAAGAAGAACTTTCACATCCCATGTTTCTTCAGTATTATCCGGTAAAGCAATTTCTGATAAATCTATATTGAATTTTGATTTTAAAATGTATTGAGGAGGGTACGTAAATAAACTATTCGGTAAAATATCGTCTAATCCAAATATGTTCTTCGTCACTAGGGAAGACGCATAATGCATAATACAAGGTGAAAATGATTCAGTTTGACCCCTCAATGTGTCTAAGATCCACGTCTTATCTCTGGAATCTTCAAAATTAGTTAAAACTATTAATAAAATTGTTACCAAGAGATTGTCTACATCTTGCGACGAAATTATTTTAATTAGAAGCTTTTTTGCTAATCTGTCTCTTATTCTTAATAAATTGTCAATAAAAGCGCTTTTAATTTCCGGCACTACACTCATGGAGTGCGAAATTAATCTAAATGGAATGAAGTCACTTCTATTACAAATGTTTGATATTTCATCACCAAAGTTAATATCATCGGTAGCTATTTTGTTATAAAAAGATACCAAGTCGTTCAATGCGTTAACCGAAGAAATTTGTAAAAATATGTAATGGAATTTCCATACTACGGACAAATTCTTCAAAATAATATTTGTATTAATTAAACTGTTCAAAATTGCCATTCTTGTAATTAAGTAATGTATATATTCTTCTGCACAAGTTGAGACCAATGATGATAAAATATCTTTGCATTCTATCAAAATTGAGGAATTATTTCCATCTCTAAATAATGACAATATTGAAATCATGTTAGAGTCACAAGGGTGAAATGTTAAAATACATTCGATAACTTCGCGGACGTTTTGGCTGGTGGAAGTTTGACTTAACAATGCTAGCAAAGCAGTGTTTCTAGGCAAGTGTTGATTAACCAACTGAGATATGCACCTACCGCGTCCTGAACTTGCAGGAGTACCGCCACTTTTCATCCATGTATCCACTACACTGTCACAGTATATTTCTTTGTATACGCTATTTATACTCATTCTAACGGCATAGGAATTTTTTAAATGATACAAATTTTCCATAGTCACCATTTGCTTTTTATCTACACATTGAGTGCCTTTAAAGAAGTCTAGATAATTCCTTTCCAAAAAGAAATTTGAATTAGCTCGCACAACAAGGAGTTCATATTTGTTTATAACAGTTTTCAACAAAATTTTTTTTTCTTTATTTGTAACCTGCTGGAAATAATTTAAAGCTTGCTTCGTGTCACAGTTTTGAAGGCACTTATCAATGTATAAAATACTGCTAACATTGGCATATAATGGTAAAGCATTTGTCACAACTTTCAAATCATCAAGATCTATACATGGAACATCAATTATTTTATGGAGGACTATAATGTAGTCATTATATGACAAAGGAAAATTGTATTTTTTTAATATCACTTTAAACTTAGCATAATTTAATTCCTGATGTATTTCTTGAGCCAAAACTTTATCTGCATCGGTGGCAGTGAAGTCTTTATGACCAGATGCAGCAGCTGTTATTGCAAGATCTAATATAGTGTTATTCCAAGGAACATCTAATACTTTTAAAACTTGTAAAAGACAATCAAGTCTATTACTTGTTGAACGAAAGGCTTTCAATAACATTTGTAAGCGTATACCGTCAACACTTCCTCCACTCAAAGCCGCCTCACTTTCTATAAATGAGTTAAGCATATCATCTAATTCAAATAAATTACGGGATGCATAGCTTGGTAAATTATTTTGAAGAAAGTTTTCTAAATCCTCTGTATAACATCGACGTAACATTATTATAGCTACTTCAGTTGGATTCTGACAACTCAATTCGCTGAGCAACATATTTATTCTATATTTGTCTTTGAGCTCCATGATGTAATTTATATGATCTTTTAATACATCTAAATCATCTAGGGAAGCAGGCCTGATGGAAATAGTTTTTATTGAAGTTTCCAGTACTGTTATGACTTCCTGTATAAGTTTCAAACCTATTTTGGGCCAATATGAAGACTGTTCCAAGTGAAAGACCCTTTCAGTAGTCCATTTCACAAATAAATCAACATAAAAAGGGTTTTCTTCCAAAACTGATGGCACAAAGTTTTGCAACCAAATAATTAAAGCACCTAATTTTATATGATATGGTATAGCATTTAAAATATTTAATATATCATTAGATTGAACAGCAAGTTTTAATTCAGAATACTTCAACCAACAGATGGAAGCTAGATCTAAATCTGATTTTGATATAAATATAATACAGAGCTGTATGAAATTCTGTTCAAACAAATTAACATCCTCATACAAGTTGTTGCCTCGAAACAAAATATATTCTAACAAATCTATTTTGATGGTTAAATCATTGATGTGATTCATCAAATTAACATCATTCGTTTTGAATATTTTTGATTGCAGAGGATATAATATAACCTTATATAAAATATTTTGATGACATAGTTTGACTGCTGCATTAATAAGGAAATTATAATCTAGAATACTGTTGAACAGAGAATGCAATTGTGTTAGTATCTGACCTGGTTTAACATTTGATAAAGCAACATCTATTAAGGTATTTAATTGGATTTTAAGGTTGTCCTGAGATGTTTTATCGGTTGCTAAATTGCTTGAGGTTTCCACTTCAAGGAGAGCAGTTTGTATCATAGATGCACCAAAAACCTGTACCTAAAACAAAATATATTTTTTAAAATATGCTCCATTTATTTTTGAACAAATAAGTAGTACTTAACATTGTATTGCCTATTATATTATTTGAAATATTTTTACCAAGAATACATGTATAGTAAAAACTGTATAGCATTTTGGACTATGAAATAATAAAAAACATTATAAATTATATATTACCTTCTCTTCATCCCATAACAAGTAATAAAATATTTTATTTCTTCCATTTAAAGGATAATATTTACATCCAACTTTTGGAAATTCAAATGTAGTATTAAATGTTTTAACATCAACCATCCACATACTGCATTTGTTAGCCAGAATCACTGAATTAACCCATGGAACAATATACTCTAATTTTGTGTTAATAGAAAATAAATCTAACAAGCCTGTTGTGTTGCACTGCAATTTAACATTTCCAGATTCGATAAAAGCATTAAGCCCATTCATAAAACCCACTCCTCTTTGAAATTTCGTTCGGGAACAAAATATATTCAGCTTTTCGAAACTAATCACAGTTTCACGTTCACCTTGTCGCATTTTATTCTCTAATTCTGACGTTGTGAAGGGTATTCTGAGGCACTCTCCGCTTTCGCTCATCAAAAACAACGTATTTCCATCTTTTACAAATTGCTTAATTTTATAGTTGGCATAATTATTACTTGTTATTTTGAGTAATGAGCAATCAGAAATATTTATTACTACAAGCTCATGAGATTTAAGTATAAGCCAAATAAAATGATCCTGCAAAATATCATCAGCGATATCCTCTTCCAAATTTAACACATTTGGTTGAACAGTTCCTTTTCCATTGTTATTTTCAATATCAACTATAATAACTTTCTTTTGTCCTAATATTATTAAATTAGGATATAATAAATGAGGTTTGATATAATTTAGCGCAGTTAAGGGCACTTCAAACAGACACTGTGTTAAAATTGGTGACGACATTATGTTAAGGTGATTAAAAATTCTAAAATAAATCAATAATTCTATGCAAGATATAAATGTATGTCCGAAAAACCGTTAATAAATCTAGATATAAAATTCAAAGCAAGCCTGCCTTTTTATAAGAGCGTATGTAAAATTTCTCAACACACTATAGTTCACTCTATACACCTAACAATTAAAGCATACAATTGCATGCACATAGAAAAAGGTGACATGTATGCAGGTTGTATTTTTAAATAAATGAGAATAGTCCTATGCTCAAAGCCAATAAAAATTCGCCCTTTTTTTCCATTTTTACGTTCCAAATTATTTGATTTGCGAGGCAAATTTTTAGGGGAAATCAAAAAAATCAAAATCAAAATCATTTATTCATCGACATAAGAAACTTACATTTCATTTATCAATAGTCATATTTTTTTTTTAAATCTACCACCGTTTCGTAATGAGGTTCCTCTAGCGGAGAAGAAACAGGCGAAAGAAACTCCGTAGGTACCTATCCTCTTTTTTGTAATTATTTTTTTTTCTTAACAAAAAATTCAAAAATTATAGAACTGATTTTTTTCCTTTTAGAAATAGCTTGGGAGCGATCAACTCATTCCCAGGGGTTATTGTCATTAATGTATTCATTTGTATTATAATAACCCTTTTTATAAAGTTTTTCTTTAATAAATTTCTTAAACCTGTTAATAGGCAGGTTTTGCGCATTTACTGGGATTTTGTTGTAAAAGCGTATACACCGCCCCATGAACGAGTTACTTACTCTATGGAGTCTAGTAACTGGCATTACAAGCTTGTGTTTGTTCCTAGTGTTCACATTATGTATATCAGTATTCTTATCAAAATTATTAATATTTCTACGCACATACATAACATTTTCATATATATATTGAGAGGCTAAGGTTAATATATTTATTTCTTTAAACTTCTCTCTCAAAGATGCATTCAGATCTAGATTATAAATAGCTCTTATGGCCCTTTTTTGCAAAATAAAAATTGTTTCTATATCGGCCGCGTGCCCCCATAGCAAAATACCATATGACATTATGCTATGGAAGTAACTAAAATACACAATTCTAGCCGTTTTTACATCAGTTAGACATCTTATTTTCCTTATAGCATACGCTGCAGAACTTAGTCTATTCGCAAGTTTGGATATATATGGGGACCCCATTGAAGCTTTGCATCGAGAGTTATTCCAAGAAAGACAGTCGTATCCACAAGGCCTAACTCCCCCCCATTTATAAGTACATTGGTAG